CCGATTTAGAATATTATGCATTGAACCAGAAATTAGTTCTCTGACAGAACTTTGTTGGTTTTTAATTTCCAATTAGTTATAAGAAATCATAGTAAAAACATCCAGTATGATTTTCTTTAAATTTCTCCAACAATGTAATAAATAAAATTCCATTAGTTGCAGTAAAACTAACAATTACAGTTTATTTATTTTTCCAACAAATTTTTTGCCCTGTTTCAAATTAATTCACCAACCTCCAGTTTGTAGAAGTCCTATAAATAACTCCTATATGTAAGGTTTAATATGTGAAAATATATACATATAAAGTCTATACAGTTTCATATATTATAAATTAACTGATTTAATTTATAATATTTATGCTCTGTAAATTTACAATGAGCACTGTTTTGTAAAAATAAAAATATCAACAAGAACACTGGATTATATATCTTACTGTTCTTTCTTTTTTTTACTATAATATATATAGTCTCATATATTAAAGTTGTTGACCAAGCAAACAAAGCCATAATTTGACCAACAAATCAAAAAAATTTTTCCAAGTAGGATGTAAAAAATAAATAACAAGGAGACTAAAATTAGACAGTCTGACCAACCAATAAGAAAGCTTTGACAGTCAGGATATAAGGTTACTAACCAATGAGAAGCAAGCTGTCTTTTCAAAGCAGATCTATAGATACGTATATAAGCAGATGGAAAATCAACCAAAACCAGAGTTGATAAATTAATTTTGTTCATTCTCTGATAATGCGTTCATCATAACATACCTAGAGATAAAATACAACATTTGCATGACTATCTGGCAACCTTAGATGACTAACCCATCATTGCTACAATGAAAACAAACATACTTTCCTTCACCATGTTATTCATAACTGATAACATCCTCCAGGAATGGATACAGGAATCCAGGATTTCGGCAGTGGGGTTTAGGTGCACGGAATCCCTCCCTAAAAATGTTGAAAAATTTCTAAGAAAATATTTTTTGTTGCAAAGTAGATATAGTAAGCTAATAAAGGGGGGCATAGAAGTAACCAAACTTAAGTCAACATTACTCAGTTGCCATAAAAATTTGAAAATGATAATCAAAATAAAATAAGTCCAAATTTGGAAATGATAAATAAAATAAAATAAGCCCAAATTTGGAAATGATAATGAAAATGAATTAAATCAGAATTTGAAAATGATAATCAAAATAAAATAAATTAAAATTTGAAAATGATAATCAAAATAAAATAAGCCCAAATTTGGAAATGATAATGAAAATGAATTAAATCAGAATCTGAAAATGATAATCAAAATAAAATAAATCAAAATTTGAAAATGATCATCTATAATGAAAAACGTTTTTTTATTGTAATATATTACCATATATTTCATTAATAAATTTTTGGATTTGTTTTTAACTACTTTTGCTCAAGCAAATTTATACTGATTTCATATTCTGGAAAAAAAACTTTTTTCACTTAGTTGTGGCTCTGCCATTTCTTATGAGTAATCAAACTGATCCTTGAAATTTATTAAAAACGAATGAGGCACTCAATGAGTGAAGACAGATTTAATTGTTCTTTTGTCTGTTTACAAAGTGATTCAGTTAGACTATGATAAAATCGTGAAACCCTATGCAAATAAGAACCTATATATATATATATATATATATATATATATATATATATATATCCCTTTCTCTCTGCCGTGCAAGGATAGGCTAGGGTAAAATTTCTGATTGATGCCAAATCAGTTGAGTTTTGATCCTGGCTTGAAGCAATCAGACATCTAGCCACACTGGAGAGCTGTGATACAGCAAAACAGTCTGTCTGTGGATATATATATATATATATATATATATATCTACATCTATCTATCTGTCTATATATATATATATATATATATATATATGAACAATCACTACTCATTTCTATAACCTAATATATATGATCAGGGAATTTCAAATTTTGAATTGTGATTTTTACTGAGGAACACACCCCCTCTAACTGAAAATGCTAGGTTTTCCCCTGCAACCGCCACAAATTGATTGAAAGAAATCTAGAAAACAAAAAAAGAATAAAATGGGAGACATTTTTATTCTATCAGAAACCTTTGGTAGAGTGTTTAAAGAGTGTGTAAATTCAAAGAGTTTTATAATTATAGTCTTTGTAAAAAGAAAGAATGAATTTAATTTAATCCCTGTTGTTGAGTGAAGGATCGAGAGAATGTATAAACTATGCCATGCATGCATCCTGGAGGTGTGGAGCTCACATTTTATCTCGTCTGCAGTGCTGTTTGGGAGATAACTAGTCTCTTGAAATTTGCACAACACCTGCTCTCATTTTTTTTTACGCATGCCCAAGTGGTTAAAAATTGTAGCTGCTACTAATAGGCTTTTTAACGCATACATGCCTGATCAAATGGGTGGGTTATGGCCACATAACATTGAAACATTGTATGATCCCCAATGTTAAGCAATGTTGAATCTGGTCAGTACTGAGATTGCTAATCGTTTGGGAATACCAGGTGTTGTAAACTTGGATATGTGGGTGGTGTAATGGATAATGACTCAAAATTATTAATTGGAAGCTGAGTTCCAATTCCAGTTGGGTTTGTTATATTCACTTACACACAAATAGACTTGTGATATGCATGAATCCACCTCTATAGGTTAATTAGTACTGTCAGAGTTATCTCCTCCTTAATTTCCTAATTGTTCACTAGGGCACGCTCTCCCTACACTATAAATACTGGGCGATTTCTTGCCTCGTTCTCTTTTTTTACTTTGTATTTCAGTGGACGCATTTAAAAAATGTGATCTCTCGCAGACATCTGCATTTTGCCCACTTATGGAAAACACACACACACACACACACATACACGTATGTACGAACATTCATCAAATTACAAACTCTTTACGTTCATGCACAAACACAAATGTTGATGTCTTTGTCCATTGTGAATTTTGTTATTTAAAACATATACTTGTATATGTATCGTATATATCGGTCTTGTTTGTTTTCTTTACATCTTCGGTTGGACTCAACTTGAGTCCGCCACATTCTTGTAGTGGATTTTTTAATATTCTATCAGGAGTTACACACATGTTTCTAATTTAACAATGCATAAACCCATGGTCCGCTACACTATGACTTGTACCACTAAAACCATTATTATTTCCCCAAAATAAAGTTGCATTCAAAATATTTATATTTCAACATAAGATAACCCATGGAGATGTTTATATGCCACTAAAATAAAAAAATAACCAACCAAACAAACGGGGTTTAGCAGTTGCTAGAAAGTTTTGTCCTTTAAAAACTTTATATGAGGAGAAGTCATAGATAGAGTTTTTAATTCCATGCCTGTTTGAGATGTAAGTGATCATGGCTTTCCACAACTTTTTTTAAATTATGCATTAATTGCTGGGATTTTTGGGGGAAGATAGTTGAGTGGTTTCCTATTCCCTTTTCCACTGTTTGGAATTCAGAGTTTTCTTTCTATTAGACTAGTTGCCATTCAAGGCTAGAGAGACCAGTCTACAGTATTTAACCTATAGCTGGTGGGAGAAGAAGCTGATAAAGGCTATTTCCAATGACATTTGTGTGAAAGTGAATGGCAGGAATTTGAATGTCATTTTGGTGACAGCTTTGGAAAATGTATTTTATTCTTTCCTTGCGTTAATTATTTGTGATAGTCACTATATAGGTTATTAACACAAAGTTTGATATTTGTTGTTGCGAATGATATTTTTTTTATATGTGCGTGTGTCGACTTATACACGAATACATTTTGCAGTGTCTTGTAATTAATAAGTTATCTCCCTTGACTTTATTATAACTTTCCATTATATTTGTAAACTTTCATTGTCGTCAAGGAATGGTTCTTGCAAAATTAATTATTGAGTTAATCAAATTGTAGGTTTATTTTCTACAAGACTAAGAGAATTGCTTTAAAATGCAAATTGTCAAAGTGTAATTTTTATTAGTTAATTATTAATAATTATTGTTTCATGAAAAGTTAATTAATTTATTTACTTTTACTAAGAATTACTTTTTTAAATTATTTTTGGGGGGCATAAAAATAAAATTATTCATGTTTTTCTTAGTGTTTAGTTTCATTCAATAGTATATTTTGGTTACATTGACTACAAGTTTATAAATACGGTAAGAAATTTAGTTGGTCGTATTTTAAATTAATTTATTTATTTGTCAATATTTTGCAATAAAAATTATTTATTCTAGTTGTATTATTTGCTAAATTTATTTTAAATATAACATGCCTGACCCGAATCACCCCATCCCAAAATAAAGCTTCAAATTACAAGTTTAAATTTAAAATTTGCATTTTAATAATTATAATTTATTTATTTATTTTTTTACGTGTCGAAATCCCGAAAATATAAGAAGAGTATTATTGCATAAGATTAAGAAATAATAATAACTCGACCAAAAATAAAATGCGAAGTTTTATTAGTTACAAATAAAACTTCGCATTTGTTTTTAGTCGCATTGTTTTCAACTTAAAAAAGAAAAAACTTTAAAAATGGCAGAGAAAAGAAAAAACCCAAAATCGACGGAAGCCTAGGAGCCGCATTTATTAAAAATAAACACCACGGAAAAATCTTAACAAACAAATAAATAAATAACTGAACACAATTAACATTGATTTTTTTCTTTTGTAATTAATTCAATACTGATAAAAAAATAAACACTATTTCATAAAAACAAGGAAATTCATCATTGTTTATATAAACATGATTATTGTAAATACGTCCATTCGTAGTTAATTTTTGGTAATTGTATTATTTTCAAAAGCTGGTTGAAAGTCATGTTTATTTATTTTCATTTTGGGAGATTTTTTTCTCATCGAGATTGATTATAAATAAAATGTTTTTGAATTATATGTAGCTAATGTCCAATTTTATTCCATCATGCAAAGCAAATCTCGCACGAGTCAATAAAGTTTGAGCAGACGACACAAGGTCTAAACGTCAAGGGTCATTTAATACAACAATGGCGGCCCGTGTATTTTTGTTGACGTTTCTATTGGTGGTGATTTTACATCATTCTCAGGTATTTCCTGTCATTTTTTTCAATTATTTATTAGTTTTTTTTCTGGTTATTACTTCACGGCAGTCGTATTTTGTCGTATGTCTGCTTGTAGCTTACGATCAGGCTTGTAAAATGTGTTTTGATTTCGACAAAACAATGTGTAACGTTGCTTCTAAAAAGGCTTTGATACGTGGTCTTAAAGTGAGGGATCGATTTGTAATAGAATCTTATTGTAAAATTGAACCCTGACTTTATGGCTGCATTTGAGTGGCCATATTCTCTGTTTATAACAATAAACACATCGTTTTGTTTGTTGGTTGGATTATGCTTTTTTAATCGCTTGCTGTTTTGTTTATGGCATTGTATTTAATCTTTGTTTGGGTCTGTGAAATTATTTAAATGTCTGAAATAATACATTTCAAAGCAACTTTATCTTTATTGATTTTTTTTACTGATTTTATTACCATTTTTTTTCTCATTTCTCTTGGCACAACAGGTCACAAAATGGAGGATCGGTTTTGAGTGTTTTGACTTGTTTTAAATAAAAAAAAACCCGCTTTAAAAAAACTTGCATTTAGCATAACAATGTATTATTTCTAAAATTAAACAAAGGTAAGGGGTCAGGTTTTTGTTTTTTTTTTTTTTTTTCACTGACCCCTTTCTTTTACTCTTGATGCGAAAACATTAAAAAAAAAAAAAGTCGTCAGGTCTTTACCAAGGAAAGATGTCGGTTTTTCTTGTCTTGAACAGGATTAAAAGAAAAATACAAGGTTAATTAAAAATATTTAAAATTTTTATCTATCAATAAAATAATTCTGGAAAATAAATAAATTTGATTTCTTTTCTTTACTAATTTCGTAACTTAACATACCTTGATTCTCTAAGTATGTGTATTTTAAAATCCCCTTTCTTTTAGTTTTATTTTAAAAAATAATTTATTTTAAATTTAAAAACCATCACTAATTTTTTTTCATTTATTATTTAATAAAATTTTGACGATTTTTTTTTTTTTTTTTTTTTTTATATTTATTTTAAAATTTTAATTTCCTCTCGGGGGAGAAATTCAAAAAATCTATCAATTTTAAAAATAAAACATTTGACAAAACTAAAAGTAATAAAAGATAAAAATATTTAAAGTATTTTTTTTTTTTTTTTTACAAATATTTGATTTGATCTTTTCTTTTTTAATTAATTGCTGAAATAATGAATTTGACCCTTTTCTTTTATTAATTTAATTAAATAATCGTCTGCAAGTTTGTTTTCTCTTGTTTATGAAGATTTATTTTTTCGTGTATGTTATTGTTCAATACGTCACAAATTTGAAAATATATTTTTTTAGATTAAGTAAGATCTCTTTTTATTTTCCTTTCATAAAGTTTCGAATCTTAAATTCAATAAAATAATATATAAAATATTTTTCATATTTTTTTCCTTTAAATTCAGAAACTTTTTTTTTTTTTTTTTTTTTATACTAAAACAAAAATAATCACTTCCCCCCCCTTAAATTTCCAACTTAAAGAAAAAGGAAGTGTTTTTGTTTCTATTATAAATTTTTTATTAGACAACGTTTAGGAATTATATTCATGCAATTATTTACTGTCGCAATAGAATTGAACCTATTTATTTTTTTACTTACTTTACTTACTTCTTTGTTTTGACTTTTTTAAAAAATTTATTTCAGAGGTAAAAAACAAAAAAAAAAAACAAACCCTGCATAGCTTTCTCGACTATATTTGGTGCAATGGTATAATTTTAACCCTCCTCCCCAGCATAAAAAAAAGAAAAAAAGACTACCATAAAAAATAAAATTAACCTCAATCTACATCCGCGTGTCCCTTTCAAAAAAAATATCAGTTAACTTTAAAAATCTCAACAAAAAAAGCAACAAATCCGTCCAATATGTATTAAAAAATGGTCATTTTCAAGAAAATGACACCACTTAACAAAGGAAAGAGTCTGTAGAACACTAATGTAGCAATTTTAAAGTAATGGTCATACTGAAGTTTAAATATTTACTAAAAGCTTACTTACTTGTGGCACAAGGCCACAAGTATGAAGCAATCGGTGAGGAACAATGTTGAAAAAGTGCCCTACTGATATGTAAATAAACTGAAAATATATATTTGAGGCACAAATAATGGAATGGTAAAAGCCTATGGAAAAGATGGGGTGGAAAAAATCCTGACTCCCACACACCTTCTTCAAAGCTTCCTGAAAGTTCCAAACCCCTTTTTAAACCTGATGCAATTAAGTATAAATTCACTATTTACTAAGCTTACCTTAGTTTGGACACAAGGTCATAAAGTATGTGGCACCTAGTGAGGATTGAACTCTCAGTTAATCGTCAGCCAAACTAACTTGCTAATGATTTCTTCATGCCAAGGTGCCCAAATAAGGTATAAGTTTCCTGAAAATTCAGTAATCTTAGTAAATTTAATGATGAGAATGTGTTTATTTTCATGATTTAATATTTTAAATTTATTTTGAAAAGTTAAAATTACTTTTGGAATTGCTAAATATTCTTTTCATCATGTGTTAGATATATGAAAAGGATTGGAAGATTATCAAGCAAATTAAATCTACAGAGGTTAGATCTGCCCAAGCTTCCCTTTCCAACTTTGACTGAGTAATGAATTGTTTACCATCTTTCAACTTTTTTCCTACAAACACAACATTGCTTGTCTCTCACTACTCTATCACTATTTTCATGGCAGATGTTCAGGCCAACTACATTTCTTGATTCCACCAGTTCAGACCTTCACAGCTATCATGCCACATACACTGAATTAACTTCTTATTTCCTCCATATTCCATTGGTGAGGAGGAAGTTCCACCTAGACAGCTTCTTCTCTAGAACTGTTGCAATGTGGAACAGACTCCTGAGAGGATGCTTCTCTGATTACAACAATTTGAGAGTCAACCATTATGTCCTACATATTCTCATAAGTAACCTTTGCTCCCTTTCTGTACATCTTTACATATGCATTTCATAACACTCTACCTTTTGTGGTTCTTGGTAACAATAATTTAAAAAAAAGATATTTGCTGTATGAAGAAATTTCATCAATAATTTTAACTGGTGGGTGCTGAATAGTTCTTGGCCAATACACTTCCCAAAATTTGATCAATCTGTATTTTGTTTTTGGTCAGACCAAGAACTCTTCAGCATGCCATCTTACATTATCTCACAGCAGATAACCTTTTAAAATCATAAATTATTGTCTCTGTCTAATGTTCATTGATAAAATTTAACTTCTTACCATAAATCTTGAAATTCAATTATCATTAACCTGTCTGCCACACCTGTGAAATTCCTTTTTCTCCTTTCAGAATCTTGATAGCTATCATTTTTCCTTTCTCAGGGGCATTAAACATTAAAATACCAAATGTTACTTTTGATATTAACTAGTTTTAGGTTTTTTGTTCTGTAATTAAATAAAATAAAATGGTGTCTAAACACTAGCATATTACCCATAAAAAATGATGGTATTATTTATGAATGGATTGGAACCTCTGCCTAGTATCAGAGTATCTGTGCACTCTGTCTGGGATCAGTGTAGTATATATGTTCTCTGTGAAAAGTGTTACACACCTGCAAAAGCCATCAACTATCTGTTCCTTTCTACATGATAGCAGAATTTGGAAAATCAGGAAAGTTAGAGGTTAATTAAGAAAACTAGAGAAAAAATAAAAATAAATATTAGTGAGAGGGAAGAGATGAAGACAAGACAGGATTGCTGTCTTCAGTTTTATTACTTTTAATCTTTGAAAGTGGATAAAGCAAGCTTAATACTTATTTCTTTTAGTTCATGACCAAGATAGGTAGATACTATATATTGTATAGATTATTACATGACCTTTATTCAATTCCTTATTTTAACCCCTCTCTCCCCATATACACCACTGCAACATTTTAGGGAACTCCACTTTTATCCAAGAAAAAAAATTAGATTATAAATGAAGGAAACTAAGCAAGATATTTTTCTACTTTTCTGTTTAGGAATCATTTACAATATATCATCTTTGGCACTTTTTTTTGTCCAGATTATTAAAGGGGAAAACTACTTATTCTGTTCCTTTTGACTGGTGCTCATAACTTTGGATTCACAAAAATGATGCCCTCAATTGTTAATTGGGATTTTACTCAAAATTTTTTAATTCTTTGACTAAAAATGTTTTAGTCTTTTTTTATAGTAAATCAGATCAAGTACTTGTAACTGTTATTGAAATTCTTAAATGTCTTTGTCACAGTATTCATTGTATATAGTTTTATTTCTTTACTAAGCAATATTATTAATTATGCTTTAATGTAATACAAACAGCAGTTGTTTGCAATTGTCCATTTCTAAGTACTTCTCTTTGTGATTTTGAGCTCTGTTAGACTTAATTAAAAAAAAAAAAAATGATTTCTGCACTCACCCAAATGAAAATTGCATTTGGCATTTATTTGATATAAATATTGGGTATTTTATGATTTATTTTCTTACTTGATGTGCAGCTCTTTGTCCAGTCATTATATGGTACTCTTATTTAATCTAGTTGTGAAGATCAGTTTTCTCTAAATAAGTTCTGTTCTCTCGAAATTGAATCCTAAACATATTTAGTTCAAGTTTGCATCTTCAAACAGCTTAATATAAGGGATATAAATGTTTGTGTGTAAATCACAGCTCTATTGGTAGGTTACATAAAATGTTGTTCTGAAAAATATTAAGAAATAAGTTGAAAAGTATTAAAATATAAATTACTAATTCTTTAAAAGTTCTTGTAAATGCTTACCATAATTAGAGAAAGGTGGAAGAATGGATTCCATCAAATCCAGATAAGGCAATAAAAGAATTTTTTAAATAAAGTTCACTCTAAGCAAGGCAGTAAAGCCACTAAGACACAAGGGGTTACTGGATGTGGAAGAATTAGAAAATGGAAACATTACTAGGAACAAGTACAGTAGAAGAGTAATCAGGAAGACAGTAGATAGCAATTAACATTGCATTTTAATTTTTGAAGATTAAAATTGGCTGGAAAGCATGTAGCCAGAAGGGACTTCCACAAGTGAGAAACTGTTACCATAGAACTTACAGTTACATCTAGCCAACTCAACTGTATATCAATGAAACCTTGCTGATAGTCAAGTACTGCGCTTAAATTCCTAAAGTCTAGGTACCATAGTGAAGTGTTCATCCAAACAATTACCATGAAAGTATTTATAGAAAAGGCACAAGGTGGCAACTTTATGGCAGTAGGAAAGTGACTGAGGCTGAGATGCCTGGTCATGACCAGTAACTGATTCTTCTTTGGATTTTATCAAGGATCTCTAGATAAATAATAGGAGCACCAAACCATATGTGGCAGCAATATTCTAAGCATGAATGTATGGTAGATTTATAGATAGATTCTGGATAGAAAAATTATCTAGCATAACACAGTGAACCAGATTTCTTAGCAGCTGACCTAGCAATTCAATTTTTCTTTATGAATTCAAAAGAAAATCTTATTTACACTTCATGGGTAGGCTTTTATTTTTTTGTAAAACTCTTCAACAAATAAATTTCAATATAGATTAATAATATTAAATTACTTGTGCAATTTAAATAATTGGATGAAACTTGGATAAGCTTTTTTTTTTTTTTTTTTTTTTTTTTCTCATAAGAAAATTTGTATTTGTGATCTTATGAAAAGCTTATTTTTCTCTGATTTCTTGATGGAAGTTTTTTAATTAATTTTTCAAAAATTTAAAATGTTATTTCCAAATAATATAAATTAAAATTTACTTTTCATTGTTTTCTAAATTCTCAAATGAATCCTCTAATTAATTTTTTTTTTTTTTTTTTTTTTTTTTCAATTTGCAGGTTGCTGGATATTACTGTGATAGTGACAGGTATGTGCTACAAATTAATTTTTTTTTTTTTTTTTTAAATCTTGTTATTGACTTAAATTTTCTGATATAGACATAGTAAAGTATTCTAAATCCTATTTGTGACAGATATAAGTAGAACAGTTTACAGTCATTGAATTAGAAGATTTTAATTTCACATCTCTCTGACTTTTGGAAATCTTTTAACAATTAATTCTCTCAATAGTAAATCTACCTATTGTATTTTTGATCTTTTCACACTAAGCAAGGCAATAAAGCCACTGATATGCAGGGAGTTACTGAATATAAGAAAGACATTATTAAGGGTCGAGAACAATGAAAGAACAGAAATTAAGAAAACAAAAGGTAACAATTGACATTGCATTTAAATTTTTAAGGCTGTTCTTCTATCTTATAATTAAACCCAGCTAGACACCATTACTGACCCAAACATACCACAGTATTCCTTACACCAAAACAACACATTCTTACTTACCATTCTTACTACAGCCACCATAATACCTCAGTAGAGGAGAGTTCATCAGAACAATTACCATGAAAGTTTTTATAGAAAAGGTGCAAGGAAGCTACATTATGGTGGTGGGGAAGTGACTGAAGCTGAGATGCCAAGTCAGGACCAATGACAGGATTCTTTGGATTTTATCAAGTATCTCTAAATGTATAGCAGGAGTATTGGTTAATATTTGAATTAGGAGACTTAAGGAAAAATAGTATCACTTCATTCAAAACAATTTCATTCTGCTTAAGTCTGTCATGAGTTATAATTTCAATAAATCTGTTAACATTGATTATTTCTCATTTGAATAATAATAAAAATTTACAAATTAAATATAAGTACAGGATAGAATTATATGTATGTGATATAGAATATGTCTATCCTTTTTGTCAGTAATAACTGCTTTTAATTTCTGGCCCTTGATAATACTTTTCCTTTCTTTGTAATGCATAACACAAATTGAGTGCTGACACTTGCTAAAAAAAATTAAACTAAAACCTACAAAACTTAATGTTTAGTCATTGTTCTTCCTACCACAAAAATAATAATTTATTAGTGAAGAAAAATAAAAAAAAAATTGAAGTATTGTTAAATTCAATGGATAGCAATAAGAGCCAAAACTTTGTCTATATATGCCAGTAAAAAATGTCATTTTATAAGCAGATTTTTTCTTAACATTTAAACTGGACTTTCTAATGTTTAACAATCAATCGACAAATGTAATTTTGTTAAAATTTTATTAGAAGTACCTTTTATTTTTCCTTCTAGAATCATTAATGTTTACATGTGGGATGCATGTAAATAGTATGTATAGTCTATAAAAAAATAGCATGTATAGTCTATAAAAAGAACATAAAATAATATAGAAATACCTTTTGGGGCTTATAAATAATTTTTAAAAATATCTTATTTCTTAGTTTTGGTCAGCCTGAGCATTTGTTTTTTTTTTTATGTTGTTGTTATAAGTGAATATTAGATTTCTAATTGCTAAAATGTAGTTGCTTGACTCATTTGATTTATTTATAAGTTATTAAATGCAAAGAAATGTAGGTAAAGAAATTAGTTAATGTCTGTTGACAAATGCTTCAACAACATATTGAGTAATATATTCTCTACTTTTGCATTCATAATGAAGAGGGGTAACATTTTTCAAATGAACTGTACATCTTGCAAAAAATATCTATTAATAAACTTGTAATAAGTTGCATCTTTAAAAAAAAAAATTATTTGGAAAAAAGACCTTGTTTCTTTTGAGCAAAATTTCATAGCTTGGACTCAGATTTTTATATGGGTAATTTATGGTACTCTTTTTTTGACAACCATAAATTGTTTTTTCTTTTGAGATGAAGACCTATTACTACTGTAGAGCATGTTGTAGGTTCAAGTCTTAGTTCCTTGGATTAGAGCTTGTTTTCTTTAAAAAAAACATTGTTTTAAATTGAGAGTATATTATTCAGCTTGTCTTTCATATTACAAACAGCAGTTTATTAAAAGAACACAATATAAAGCTCTCTCATGGATAACTGTTTTCAGAGTACTTTCAAGATATTTTGTTTTTGTAAGCACTTGTGCTAAATGTATTTTGTGTGTGTGTACATATACATGCATTAATTAACTAAAGAATGTTAATGTCATTCACTGTTAGTTTTGTGTGAAAATCTCCTTTTTTGCATTTGGATTTTTTTCAAGTACATCACTGACTTCTAAAAGAAGTGATTTTGTTTAGAGTTTCCCCTCCCTCATCAATGGATTGTCTTTACTTACAATTTTGACTCTATTTCTGAATTCTGCAAGCAAATGTAAAGCTTGTCTATTTATTAATAACAAATGTTTTTCTAAAAAATGTGTAACAAATTTATTTCATGTTCATAATTCTGTTATTTTGTTTGTTAATGCTTGTGCCATTCAAATTTATTGAAGAGGAAATAACACTAAATTATATTCCTTATTATATAAATATTTTCTAGCGTTGACCTTTTGTGAACTTTTATAAAAAGTTATCTTTGTGCATATGTCGCTATCATTCAACTATCATTGTGCAAAACATAAAAACTTTAAAGATAATGAGTGGTTCAATTGACTGTAACAATAGTACCATCAACAAATGGTTTTGGAAAGGTTATGACATTCTAGTGTCAGGTTGTATATACAATATAATTATAATAAGATCATAACTGAAATGTACCAACAACATACCTAAGGACTGATGCACTTATCTACCGGTAGATAACATTCTCATGAGCATTTTATTAACAACAGCATCTAGCACATATATTTTAGAGGATGTGATATGTAGAATTTTCTAATTCTGTATGCAATAGAAATATTTCTTTGTCTTGTTTAGAGATCTAATAAAATAGACATAATGTACATGTCCAGACATATTTAATGTGTGTATCATTTGTAAATTAACAATTCTATCCGGATTAAAATCAAGATTTTACAAAGAAAGAATGAATTCTTTAGAAACATCTCTTGGGACACTGAAAAGGATACTTTAATTTGATTATTTTAATTTCATAATGATTAATCTTAAAAGTATGGATCAAAATATATGAAGGTGAAAATTAGCTTTCTAGATTAAGTAGGATAAAAGTAGTTGTATCAATTCATTTTTCTCAGTAAATTTATTTGGCAGACTACTTGTAAAAGGATAAAGAATGTCGCAAAAATCTGTGCTAAGATAAAGGACAGTTATTAATGACACATTTTTGAGCATTTAAGCCATTACAATTATGTCAATTATTTTTCTTTAACATAAATAGGTTTTTAGCAATTAAGAATTGTCAGTCTAACAATTGGCAAAGGTCTTAGGAATAAACAAAAGTATATCCATACTACAAAACATCAGAATGAAAATAATTCTCTTGTTGGTGAATGTGCTAAGACTTGCCAATTATTAGAGACCAAAATATATATTAGTGAATATACATAATATGCAAAGTCGATAGCACAACTTGGTTTCATGCAGTTCTTGCAATCTTCAGGTGCAAATATATTCTGACCATCATGGAATTCTATAACAGTCAGAATATATTTGGATCTGAAGATTACAAGAGCTGCATGAAACTTGGTCATGCTATTAACATTGGACATTATGTATGTTCACTAATATATACTTATAGGTGTCTCATAACATTAACCACTGTATTTATAATACCTGAGGAAGAAATATATTTATACGTATGTGCAAGTATGTGTGCTTGTATGTAGATTTTTTTTTCCTACTCATATTGGGATAAAATATGGATCAGAATATGATAGGATAAAGTGTGAATAGGAAATGTTTCATGTTTTTGCTTTTATTAAAACTTTGTCAGAGAATGAGATCTGGAGAAAAAAAATTTTGGTATTTTTATTTTTGTGTTTGATTTTTCATTGATTAAGCAGTCTTCATGTGCCTTTGAATTGTCAAGCAGTTTTCGTGTATATAATTTATATATGTAAGTGTAGTTTGTATATACGAGAATTGGATGATAATATATATCTGTGTATATGTCTAGTAGGGATTATTTATGTTTGCTGGTTGTCCACATGTTGACTTAGGGACATTTTTATGTAAATACCAGTGGTGGTAGATAAACATACATTAGATTTTTTTTAAGAATGGATTTAATAAAGGTTGGTGATGTTTTTGATGTGTGTTTATAGTTAGTAAAATTTTTATCAGGATTCCCTCAAAGTATTTTTGACTTAAAGAATTGTTATTTTTTATTTTATTAAAATTAGGGCAGAATTTGTAAATTCAAAGTTATGACCAGTTATGTCTCTGTTATGAGCAAGTTTAAAAGTTTGTCCCAATGTAGACATCTTTTATGTTTATAGATGTAGCCTTTTAGATTTTGAGATGTTTTGCCAATGTAAATTTTTCTACATTGCAAGTACTTTATTTGATAAACCCTGATATCTGAAGTGGTTGGATTTATTTTTGTCCCTAATTATCTCTGATTATTTTGTAGGTGGTAGTAAAAACCTTAGTGTTGGGGATAACTAATTTATTTTCAAATTTTGTAGATAGTGTTGCAGAGTAGAATTATGAATTTTGTGTTGTTGAGGTTTGAAATGCTAGCAGTGGTGTCTAATTTTGTGGCTTTGGCATGCTCATTTTCTAGCATTGAAGATGAAATGATGTGTGTAGTTAAGAAGTCTAAATGTTTTTCAATCTATTTCTCTTCTTCACCTAAGTATTCTGGACCACATATTTTAAGGTCTCTGAAGTAGAATCTTATGAGTAGTCCTGATTTTATTTTTTGACTGTGGTGGGAATAGAAATTAATTAGATTGCTTTGTTAGTTGGTTTGTAGTAAACTCTAAAATCTAATTTACTATTATTATGTATTAATAAGTCTAGGAAAGGTAGAGATTTGTCTATTTCAAATGCATGTGTGAATTTGATGGTATATTTCTATAAGCAAAAAATTGCTTTCCTATAGGATCACTTATTAGTGTTGACCTACAGGGTATGGGGGAATTAGGAACAGAAACATCAGGAGGGCTGTAGATAGTG